TATTTTCAGCTTACAAAATGAATTTTCCCAGCATGAATGCCCTGTATATAAGTCCAGTTAAAGATATTATCATACATGTTATTATCAACAGATATTTTTTCATTTTTGTGCCCCTTAAATGTTTTGCTTCTTTCTTTTCCCCCTTGATTCCTTTACTCTTACTTTCTCCTATTTCCCACACTCCTCCCACACTGACTCTATTATCTGCAATTGTTTTCCATTGAGAACAATTTATATTACTTTTATATCTTCCAATCTTCCATTCTTTCAGTTTTTGACATACAGTGTAGACATTTGGTGAATATTAAGTCAAGATATACAATGTCTCAGTTCCATAGTCTGGCTTGCTTCACTTAGTAGTAAATCTTAGATATTTGTCCACTTTCTATTAAATGCCAGGGTCTCGCCATTTTTTTATGGCTGAGTAGTATTCTGTAGTGTATATGTGCCACGCTTTTTCAATCCATTCATGTGTTCTTGGACATTTGGGTTGGATCTATGTCTTAGCAATTGTGAATAATGCTGTGATAAACTTGGATGTTCCAGTGCTTTTCTGACTGAGTGTATTCCTGTACTGTGGGTAGATACCCAGAAGTAAAATTGCTAAATCATATGGTAGTTCTGTTTTTAGGTCTTTGAGGAACCTCCATATTGTTCTCCACAGTGGCTGTATTAATTTACCTTCCCAGTAACAGTGTAAAAGAGTTCCCTTTTTACTGCAGCCTTGTCAGCACTTACCACTTTTTATTTTTTACATTTTAATTATTCTGACTGGGACTGCGGTTAGGGGGATCTCACTGTGGTTTTGATTTGCATTTTATTTATAAGGGATGCTGAGCTTTTTTTTTTTTCAAATAGTTCTGGCTGGCTGTTCAGTTCATTTGCCCATCTTTTAATTGGCTTGCTCATTTTTTTTTCCAGTTAAGCTACTTGAGTTCCCTGTATAGTCTGGTTATTAGTCTCTCATCTACTGCATAGTGTGCAAATATATTCTTTCATCATGAGGGTTGCTGATTCACTCTGATTTTATTTTCTGCTGACTAAAAGCTTTCTAGCTTGATATAATCCCACTTGTCTATTTTGGGGATGATTGCCTGCGCTTTAGGGTTATTATTTAAGAAGCTTTTGCCTGCCCCAGTGTTTCCAATAGTTTTCCCTGTCTTATCCATCAGACATTTTATAGTTTGAGGCCATAGGTTTAGATCTGTGATTAAGTTTGAGTTGGTTTTTGTTAATGGTGAGAGATAAGCATACAGTTTCACGTTTCTGCAGTTTTCCCAGTACTATTTGCTTAAGATATTGTCTTTTCTCCACTCGATTGACCAGTGCCCTTTGTGAAAAACTGGTCAACTGTAAATATTTTGGGGTTTATTTATGTGGTCTCAAATCTGTTCCATTGGTTCACAGGCATGTTTTTATGCCAATACCATGTTGTTTTGATTATCACAGCTTCGTAATATATTTTCGGGCCAGAGAGTGAGATACCTCCTACTCTGCTGTTCTTTCACAGTATTGCTTTGGCAATATAGAATCCTTTTAGATTCCAGATGAATTCTGTGATGGTTTTCCCTAGATCTGTGAAGATTATCCCTGGTAATTTGATTGGTATTGTGCTAAATTTGCATAATTTTAGGATTGGGAGGACAAATTTTTAAGAAGGAGATAAAGTCAAAAGAAATCTCTGAGACCAAAGGCAGGATGTAACTCTCAGCAGGTTTCTGTTTACTAGTGTCAGCAAATAGGTAGCTGCTGAGAGGCCAGAGGAAAAAGCACACAGGATACTATCTTCTGGCCTCCCATGTATTCTGGCCATGACTAATGGTTCTTGCCTTCCAGCACTAAAGATGATTCTTTTCTGAATGTCTCTCAAGTGAAGCATCAAGATCTCTATCCTTGAAGACCTCTTTGGGAGAAGTGAAACATGGGTCATGTATATTAATGTCAAGTGTCTAGTCCCCTTTAACTTTCTGAAATGCATCATGACATTTTCCTTCATGTGTTTTTCTCATTGTACTCAAATCCTACTTCTAAGTCACTCTCTTCTACTTATCCAACAAAGGTGAAATAAAAAAAAATACTTTATGAAGTTTTATTACAATACTTCATCACATGCTTTCCCAGCATCATCTCTGTCTGCCATGTGGCAATTGCTCATTGTTGTGCCATCATATTCCATGATCCTCATCCACTGTTGTGAGGGCTTCAGCTGAGCAAGGGCTGGGTCTGTCCTCTCCTGAGCTGCGTCCTTATCCAGGAGGACCTACCCTGGCACATATGAAGTGCTTAACAGAGATCTACTGAATAAATAATATTTAAAATGAAGGAGCCTAACTTTCCCCAAATATGAGAAAAAAGTCTTAATTTAATTTCTTGCGTTCCCTGAGTTTGTGAATCAGGAAGATAGCTTTAACACTCAGGGCAGTCTTTCCTCTACATTTGCTGCTAGCATGCCAGTCTATCCTGGTAGTTTTCAGACAAATCGAATTAGAAATGGTTGTACTCATTTGGAAAATCAAGAACTGGCTTTGAAATCTTTCTCCACAAATTAGATTGAATCAAGATCATTTTCCCCAGCTTATAAATGCTTGATTGGCTTTGTTTGATGCCTCATGATTGAAGCTCAGCCTTGCACTGCCAAGCTTTATTTTTTACTCACCAGGGTGTTGTGATGTCTGGATGATGATTAAAAACAAAACAAACACCCACAATGAAAATGCTTTGTAAATAACAGCTCAGCACAGTAATAGAACCCTTGCACATTCAAAAAATTCTACAATCAGTCAAGGTAAGCAGAACTTCAAGTCAGATCTGCTATATTTCCTTGGGGTTTTAAAAATCGTTTTTATGGTGTGGCAGGACTGCCACACCTGAATTATAATTTCCTCCCATAATCTAAGGAACGGATGAACCAAACCCCACTCTGGTTGCATCTGTGGAATTCCCATGAGTGTAGACCATCCTCTCTCTCTTTTGTCCCATCCATGTAATCCCCCTGGATTCTGCCTTTGTGATCAGACTTGATTCAGACTCATCGTACCTTTGGTCATGGGTTATTTCCAGCCCACCCCAATTGATGACTTCAGGTACTTTTCCCACAAAGAACAGTCACTTTCCTCTTTTTATTCTTCTTAAATGACTGGAACCCAGACTAAGGTTTTACTGAGTTGATGAATAGTGTTTGAGGGCTGAAAAATATCTCTTGGAGAAGAGAGTCAGGGATGAGTGGCAAACAGCCTGATTGAGGATCAGCTGGATGCCAGACTTGTATGCTCCTCCAATGTCTTCTTCTTGTAGCTTCTTTATTTTTAGATTATCATTTAAAGACAGGCAGACAATGGAGTCTTTTGAAGAATAATTAGACAGCTTGAGTCACTAATAATAGGTAGTGATAGGTAGCTTCGGGTAGTGAAATGAGTCCCAAAATAGTACACTTACAAATCCAAAATAATTGACCAAAGTTTTATTAACAAATGCCCACAAATGAGAACCATCCATGAGCCATTTATCAGTGAGGGTTCCCTTTAAGGTTAAGTTATGCCATATGCAGTTCTTAAATAAGTCAACGTCTTGAAATTTTTACTGTCCAATACATTTCAATCGGTTCCATCTATTATACACTCACACTCAGACCACTATGGCAGTTCCAACATCATGTCAGTCAGTACACAGCACCTTCAGTAGTTGGTCTCTCTCTGTAAATGCTAAGTGTCAATTCATCTGATTCATTGTAGTCACATGACAAAGACTTAAGCCCTGATACTCCCACCATCAGTCATGAGAAGATCATAATAATCATGCTACTTTTGCAAGAGCTGTAGTGAGCCTGCTTCCTAGAGGAAAGCTTTTCATTATGTTTTAATGGATTTCAGTCAGTATTTGACACACTTCAGATATGATGGCAGAATGACCTGGACACATTCGGAAGGATGCTGCTTAGAACCTGCCCTTTCTCATTGTTTTCTTTTGGTTTTCATTGCATAGCCTAAAACCAGCACCTTACTAGTTAGATGTATATAATTCCCCCCATGTTATCATTTCTACAAAAATTTCAGCCACTATATGTAATTTATGATATAGTTAAAATTAACCTAACATTGTAAAGTATGCTAGGACGCATTTCCTGGTCAGGGGAATAGGAGGAGAAAGAACAATCAGTCATTTGGTTGTCCTAATCAGGTAAGTATGTTTAAAAATAGTACGCTTATTGTTTGTGTGTGTATGTATACAAACATATGTCATCGTTTGCATTTTAACTGTTGTTTTTAATATTGTTATAATCTTTGGTTATTCATTTTTTCTTTTTTCCTTTGGAGAGGTTTTTCCTATAGGGCACATGCACTCGCTAGACAGAGAGACAGAGAGACAGAAAGTGAGAAATTACCCCCCAGGGAGGATGGCCACGCCACAATCCCTTCTCCTCCATTCTCCTCTCAGGATCTTGGGCACGCATGCACACATGCCTGGCATGAGTCTTAAACTACCGGGTCCGGGACTTGAACCGCTGTCGACTACATGGGAGTCCAGTGACAGAGCCATTACACTAACTGCTGGTCCCAAATCTTTGGTGATTCTCACTCTCTTTCCTATAATGAGACAGGAATTAGTAGTGAAAGGACATAGGGTTCCTTCTTTATGTCTCAAATCATTCAAACAATTCTTTTAAAATGGAAATATATGGTTATACTTCTTCTGCCAACAAGAGAAAGATTCAGATAATGCCTAAACCTCCTCCAGAAAAAGAGATAGATGACAAAGAAGTGTTTGCTAGTCTCAGATACCCAAAAATGAGGTAATGAGTGGGAATCTTAGAACCATGACCAGCTGGTAGTGTGTTGGTTAAGGTGGCTTGATGCTACACGGCTGATTGCCTAGTATGAGTCCTGGAGCCAGTGGCTTGAAAAACATGCAAGGTGCATGTGTGTGCATACCCAAAATCCAGAAAGGAGAGAAAAATGGAGAAGGGATTGCAGCATGACCATACCCCATGAGGGGATACTTACTCATTTTCCCTGTCTTTCTCAGCAAGTACACAGGCCATTTGGTAAAGCTGAAAGAAAGAGGAGGAGGGAGAGGAATAAGAAGAAGCATCATCCAGTCTAACAGCCTCAGGCTATAGAAAAAGAAACTAAGACTCTCAGAGTGACTTACCTCTGGTCATCCAGCAAAGTGTTAGTCCTAAAAAGGCAGAAAAGTGATGAGCCAAGCATAATTCTAGACATGTTTCATGTGCTCTAATTTGCTCTTAAATCAATCCACTATCATGATTCTTCCAATTACAATAGGAAATAATGAACATCAGAGAAAGGACATGATTTTCCTAGTAAATATTCATGACAAGACTCCAGCTCTGCCTAAATTCTCATTTTCTTCTCAGATTTCAAAGTAAAATGCTTTATATTCAATTACAATAAACTATTACATATGACTTAGGCAGTTTATAAAAAGCTAATTATTACAAGAAATGTAAAGAAATATGATACATACCTACAGCAAGACCGGCCATTAAAAGCCAGTGGAGAGAGCAGTCACACGATGAGGATAATGGGAAAGACCTCAGGCCTGGGCACTTAAGGAGGAAGATTCACTGGATCCTGGTGGGAGGGGGGCGATGTTGAGGAGGTCACTCCTGGTGGAGGGAGAAAGACAGAAAGTGTGTTTAGATCATGAGTTGCCATAGAAACAATAGATATTTGTGAGATAAGTGAATGTAAGAACTCTGTTGTCTGTGTCTTCACATTCTAGCAGAGTAGGGGTGGGTAGCATTGACCAGGGATCCAGGCCAAGGCAGATTATGGTCACAACTGATCAGAAGCCTTCTGCTCTTTTGTTTAAATCCCTTGAACAAGCAGGGAATGACAGTCATGCTTGACTATCCAGCCCTTACCTAATTAGCATATCCTATGAGTTGCACCTGCAAATGTCTTGTGACTGTTTACTTTTCTTCTCTCTTTATTGCTATTTGTAGTAAGACTTTCCAGGAAAATAGAAGAAGTATACACATACACATACACTCATGAGGAGTCTTCCAGAAGTTTATGGGAAATGTATAATATATTATATGGGCTGGCAACAATGGTAACACACTGGTTGAGAGAAGCTGGATCCCTCATAGCAACTACAGTTTGAATCCCTGGTCATTCCTCCTGAAGCATTGGGCATACATACAAATGTCCAGGAACTGATGTGTTAGAAGACTGGACAAAGGGTTTTGTGGCATAAACAGACCCTGTGGAAAGTGCTCATCTCTGTCTCTCTCTTCAATGTACACATGCACACACTATCATAAAAAATTAAAAAGCAAAATATGAGTTATTAAAAAATTATATATGGATTTAATAATTTTTTCACTGAGACCTGCAGGTGGCATAATGGCTACTTCACTGGACTCCCATGTAGTCGACCTCAGTTTGAGTCCCAGAGCTGGTGACTTAAAACTCATGCCAGGAGCATATCCATGTGTCCCCAAGATCCTGAAAGGAGAATGGAGGAGAAGTGATTGTGGCATGGTCATCTGCCCTTAGGGGCAGTTTCTTGCTTTCTGTCTCTCTAACTCTCTCTGTCTCTCTGGTGAGCATATGTGTCCTACAGAAAAAAAAAAGAACTTTAAAAATTAAAAAAAGAAAAAAGAATTTTTTTGCATCAAAACAAATTTTTACTTTAATTCCATGAACACTTTTGGAAGTTCATTTCATTCATGAATGAGAGCGCATGAGCATATGCCAGAGAGACAAAGAAAGAGGAAGAGAGAGGAGGCAACCTCAGCAGGATCTCATCACACAGTGATCTCCTTTCCCTAGCCTTCTAGCTCATCAGCTCATCACACAAGCACACACCTGGCATGTCATTTAGGCCAACCCAGGGATCTGAACCAAGCTCTGCCATGTGGTTTCCAGCATTGCAGTTCAGTTTGACACCATACCACCAGCCTGGGTCATAATTTCATGAACATTTTAAAGTATCCTTGTACATGTATGTGTCTGTATGTTTGTGGAATTGAAATTTATTATGAGAAATTAACTCATAGGATCATTAATGCTAGAAGTTCTATGGTCTATCTGCCACTAGCAAACTAGAGACCCAGGAAAGCCAGTGATATAATTCAGTTTGAGTCTAAAAGCTTGAGGACCAGAGAAGCTGATGACTGATATGAATTCTAGCCTCTGGGTCAGAGAAGATGAGGTGAACCATCCCAGCTAACGGAGGCAGATAGCTAACAAAAAGATATGAATTCTTCTCTCCTTTCCTTTCGTGCTATTCAGATGACTTGATGACACCCACATATTGTGAACAGTCTGCTTTACTGAGTCCACTGATTCTAATGCTTATCTCATCTAGAATTGCCCTCAGATACACTGCAAAAATAATTTTTAATCTGGGCTACTGCTCTCCTGCTAAAATTTTATTTTCAATGTCACCTCCCTGAAGAAACTTTTTTGTAATCTTCCATATTAGGACAGGCTTCCTTGATGAATAAATCCAAGTGTTGCTTCTTCATGGTAGTTAGTCAGTTAAGGGTTTCTTTCTGCCTTCTGAAAGCATGGGCTTCCTTGAGGAGGGTGAATCAATTAAAAAATATTTGTTTCCTCCACTAACATGAAGTTGGATGTTAGGTTTCAAGGGCCTAAGTATTTTTTTTTTTTTTTTGAGAGAGAGGTTTTTACCATAGTGCATATACACTCTGGAGAGACAGAGAGAGACAAAAGACAGAAAATGAGAAATCATCTCCCAGGGGGATGGCCACATCACAATCCTTTCTTTTTCATTCTCCTGTCAGGATTTGGGAATGTACACACACACACCTGGCTTGAGTTTTAAGCTGCTGGGTCCAGGACTCAAACCATGTTTGACTATGTGGGAGTCCAGAGACGTAATTATTGTGCCATCTGCTGGTCCAGGGACATGGATTTTTTAAGAGGCCACCAAACATCATGGTCCAGGGAGGAGACAGTATCAGCTTTCATTATTTACAGTACTAAACAAAGTGCTTTTACATGGATATGGGCACTCTCTGAATAGATCTTTAGGATTTCCAAGTTCTGTCCTTCACTAGTGGAAGTAAAACTTTTTTTTTTTTTTCTGTGAAAAAGTGGGATGGTAGTTTCTGTATTTTGAGTGCTGCAAAAAATATTTTTCATTGATCCACAGAAAGTTGTTAAGGACACAAAAATTGTTTATAACTGCTTTTAGCAATGATAATGAAGGATACCAATGGAATTTTGTAGTAGAGGAAAGAGAGTGACCTCATATCTGAATACAAAATGAGAACATGATGATTTCTGTCTAAGGGACAGGGCAGGATCAGTAGATTAAAAAGTATATAGTAATAGAGTAATTTTTTTGCTAATACAGCCCATCAGGATTTTTGCTGAAGGTGGGCCAGAGTGATAAGACATCAAAGTTGATCAGACCGAAGAAGGGATTTTTGGTATTCTGATTCAGCAGGTTTCTTGTTAAAACTGAGATAAGTGGGCTGTCACTGCATTTTGAACACTGAATCTGAGGGGAAAATAACAATTAAAATAAAGGCTTTATTTGAGGTCTTAGGGGCCTTCTGTTAAAGTTAGAAAGGGAATACAGGGCTATGTGACAGTGAAAGATAAAGGAAGCCTATATTTACAAAATAATGTATACAGACAAATACTCATCTTGAGCTATTTCAATGGAGCATTATATCAGATGTATAGCGCTGAGGGGTGAAGTGGACCAGCAGCTCACATTGCTGATAAAGCCCCAAGATGTGCATAAATTTTATTATTTTATAGCACTAACTCAGGTACACTGGAATTACCTATTTTCAAAAAAACACTTATCTGTTTTAAGATCTATCGCCTCTCTTTAAGGTTCTGTTTGATGATCTGGTGTTTTAGCATGACTGACTCCATTTTAATCTTTCTTGTCTCTGGTCAGAGTCTAGTGCAGGAAATTCATCCCAAATGATGGCCTCCTATAGTTCTTACTTATCAAGGATGGAAAAAGGATTCAGAAGAGCCTGACTAGAGTTAAGATAAAGAAAGAGTCTTTTTCAGAAAGAAAGTAGACTTGGGACCAGCAGTTGGTGTAATGGCTATGTCACTGGACTTCTATGTAGCCGACCATGGTTCGTGTCCCAAACCCGGTGGCTTAAACTCACGCCGGTCGTGTGTGCGTGCTTGCCCAAGATACTGAGAGGAGAATGGAGGAGAAGGGACTGAGGTGTGACCATCCCACCAGGGGGTGATTTCTCACTTTCTGTCTCTCTGTCTCTCTCTTTCTGGTGAGCACACGCATCCTATAGCAAAAACCTCTTTAAAAAAAAAAAAAAAAGAAAAGAAAAGAAAAGAAAGTAGACATCATTTCAGGGGCCCAAAGGGAAATGGCTTCTCCATCTTTGCCTAGCACTTTCAAATGTCTTGCCTTTTCAAGAAAGTTGGTAATATAAGGAAATGAAAACACAGAGAACTAAGAACTGTCATCTTGCAAAAAGGGGAGGCCTCAATTTGGGGGATCCAGTGACCTATAGCTGTTGCTGCCCTGAGGAAGCCTCACCAGTTTTGATCAGCAGCATCAGACAGAGGGCAGAGGCTACTCTTCAACCAAAACTTGTGGGAGTGTCAGCAAAGTCACACCAGACACCAAGAATCTGTCTTTTCAATGTAAACATAGTGATTTTATTTTGAACAATAAAATATCTTGTAGGTTTTATAAGATATGGAGAGACAAAAGGACTCATAGCAGCTTACTGACTTGGACCAGGGTCACCTACAAGACCTGTGCCAGTTGCTTTACCTTGGAGATTTAACCACAGTGCACATTTTCTTGCATGGCATACTCTGCACCGATTGTGTACATCTAATAATCATAGAATGCAAAAGATCAGGGACATTTATTTATATAACTTGTAAACTGTTGTGTTTAACACATAGTTTTTCGATGCTTGGGAAATCTTAAATGAGTGCTGAAATACTGAAGGAATTAAATGCAAGGTGGAGTGGAGGAACTGAGGGAGGGAGCTTCCATCATGGGAATCTGATTGATGACATTTGAAGAAATAGAGTAAAGAACTGTAGAGGGTAGAATAGGATCTGCTGCCAAATTGCCTGGACTGCTTTAACATGACACTAAAATAAATTGTCTTCTTGTATGCTATTTCTAAATAATTGGTGGAGACTCCTTCAAATGTTGTTTTGAGAAAGATTCTGAAGTCACTGGTGGCACTATTGAAAATAATCGAATAGTCCACATGGATTTCCAAAGTAGTAAATAGCATATAGCTGTTTCTTCTTTCTCCTCACTTTGGTATTGTGGTAGCTATGATGTTCCTCAGCACTGTGTAGCATTTCTTCTGGCAACACACAGCTAAAATGGGGTTGTAAACAGAAGGGGCACAGAGCAGCTATTTAATGTGAATATGAGCTGGAAAAACATCTGCCTGCAGAGCTGAGTCAGATTTAGTATATAGAGTGTCCCATTCTCTCATATCTTTTTTCTTCTACTTATCCTTGCATTTACCATTGGAGAACATAGTAGGGCATACTCTAAGAAACAGATACTGTAAGCAGCTGGTAATGGCTTCATGGAAAAAGTATTATAGGGGAAGTTTGCAGAGGATGGGGAAAGAGAGAGACATGCATGGCCTGCAGTGAACCAGAAAA